AATTCGGCTATGCACACTTGCACAGTAAGTGCTTTACCCACTGAACCATATCCCCTGCCCCATCAGTTATACTATTTACTTGTTGGTTGATTTTTGTGTATAAATATTTTGTCTGCAGGTATGTAGATGAATGTGGATGCAATGCCTGTGGAGGTCAGAAGAAGGTATCAGATCCCCTGAACTGGAGTTAAAGATGATTGTTAGCTGTCATTGGGTGTTGGGAACCGAACCTGAGACCTCTGCGAGAGCAGTAAGTGCTCTTAATTACTGATCCATCTCTCCAGCCCCCGGTACACAGTTTTAAAAGTATGTATTTTAGCCGGGTGTGGTGGTGCACGCCTTCAGTCCCAGCACTCAGGAGACAGAGGCAGGTGGATCTCTGTGAGTTCCAGGCCAGCCTGGTCTACATATTGAGCTCCAGGACAGCTGGGGCTGCAGGGAGATCCTGTCTCAAAAATACAAAAAAAAAAAAAAGTTTAAAAAAGTATGTATTTTATATCTACAGGGTGCTTCCAAATTCACATGGAAAGCCACATGTAGCTAGCTGGCTTTTCATGAATGATGCCTCTTCTGGTTGGAGTGTGCTGGTCTTTACAGTTGGCACATTTCTATCACACCGTTTTCTAGGGCTGCACTGACAACATAAAACCTGCAAATTCACAGACTCTTCTATGGTTTAAAACAAAAAACAAAAAAAAATTCCTTAGGGCATCCATAAACTATGTTCACTTTATTTGAAACAGAAAGATCTAAAATAATATGAAATTCTATGAAAATATATGTTATAAAACTTAACAGTATTCTCTTGGTACATATGAACAAGTATTTAATTAAAGCATATCAGGATTTTTTTTGTTTGTATTTAACTGCCTGAAATTCCATGCTGAGTAATATAGTATTTGCACATTGTTACAGACAAGGAAACATAACATGGCTGACTCAGAAAACACTGTATAATGAAACTACACATTAGTTTCCATCGAGCATAAAATGTCAGTATCTTAGGAGAGATTGTTTGAAGTCTACATTACTGGGCTTCAGCTAGTAATTTTCTGTATCAATCTCACGTGAGCCCCCAAACCTCTATGTCTTCTTGTCAGAAGTATTCAAATTGTCCCTTCTAAAATTCTAGCACATGTAGTAGTGCTTACATATGAGTCAGTGCAGCACTGTCAAAAATGTTAAGTGTCACCTTGTGTACTGTTTAGTAATGTCTCTGTTCATATCTTTTTTTCCCGAGTTACTCATTTTCTTGTGAATTGAGTTCTGAGAGTAGTCTATGAGCTCCAGAATCAAGTTATTGATTAGATATATTTTTCCAAGTATTTTCTCTGTGTAACTATTAATTTTCTTAACACTGTTTTGAAGAACTGGGATTTCTTAATTGTTATAAAGTGGAATTTGTCAGTTTAAAACAGAACAACCCCCCCACAATGTAACCAGTGAAAGCCGTGATCTCCATATAATGGAGGGTTAATGTAGGAAAGTAACTTGAAGCAAGTTTGGTGCTGCTGGCCATGATGAGTGGACAGAGGATTAACTGAAATAATTGAGAAATACTTTTAATTCTGTAGGAAAATTTTTATTTGATAAATAGAATTTCATAAACTTTATACAGTCACTGAGAGCCGCACAGTGAGTGCTTACTGTCCCCAACAATGCAGATGAGTTTCCTCATACTGGATAACACAGTGCCTGAGGGCTGACATTCTAGACTAAGCATTGCTACATGTTCCCAGCTATTCCCTCATAAACTCTAACTACCCCACTAGGACCACAGCATTAGTTCTGGTTTATTTTGTAGGATACCATTTAAATTATTTCACATCAAATAGCACTTTAATATGTTTTATTTTTATGAAAACAAATGACTCATTTTAAGATAGAAAAAGTCTAAAGGGATGCCAAAATCGGTAAACACACAGCTCTTTGGTTTGTTCACTTATGCTTATGTCATATTCCAACTTGATTTTTATAGAAAACACAAATATGGAAGGTCCTCTTTTCCCCCAGGTTCCAAGTAATATTTAAATTAACTCATTTTGAAAACTTTGTGCTCTTATAGTTGTGAATTTTTGGTAGCTTTAACCTCTAACAATCAGGAATCTCAAGCTTCTCAGTCAAGTTTCAATTACAGAATCTTTTGTAGTGGAAATAACCTCCGTCCAGATACTAATAACAGCACCAACCCCAGGTTTTCAAACAGGGCCATTTGTCTCAGTTTCATTTCTTAGAATGACAGGTCAGCTCTGGAAGGCTGTCTACATCCCAAAGCTTCAGAGGCAAGGAGAAGGGACAGGCACCCACCCCTCCCTCCTCAGCAAAGAGCAAGACTTGGCAGCTGCAGCTCCCATTGGCCCACACTCTACTCCGGTGCAGGGTGAAGCTGTGCTGTTAAGGCTGACTGGAGTGTTGATGGCAACCATGCAAACTAATTTGGAGCCTGTCATTATCTTTAGCTCTACAGCCTTCAGGCAAAGCAAAGGCCAGCTGAGTGGCGCAAACAGATTTAAGACCAGTGGTTAACTAGCAATATCACATTTAGCATCTTACCTGGCTTGCCAGACACGAGAAGCTGGTTATCAAGGTTGAACTGTCCAAAGAATTGGAAAGAAATATGCAAAGGGGAAACTCTTTTGGCATTTTGTAGTAAACTTTAGTACATGAACATTAGCACTAGAAAACTAGGAAAAACTTGCTGACTGCACAATTATTTTCTTAATAAATATAAGAAAACCATGTTCTTAAAATTATGATGCTCCTCCTTTAAACACAGTAGTTTTGAGCAATAAAGCAGGAAGAACACATCAGTAGATGCTACTTATTCATTTTCCATGATACGGGGAATGGAATCTAGATCTTCAAACATGTTAGGCAGGTGTTCTACCACTGAGCTATGCCCCAGTCTTATTCATTAAAAAAACTGTTACGTGGAAAAAAATAGAGCTGGGGGTATAGGATCAAGCTTTCAGTTTAGCGTCTCCTTAGCATGCATGAGGCCCTGAGTTTGATCCTTAGCACTACTTTAAAGGAAAGAAGTCTTAATTGTGGGTGAATGCATGACACTGACTCCATGTAGGCAGCTGAGTTCCTGTCTTACTGTGTTAGAGACCCCTTGCTGACTTTGTAGTTCTTCGTCAATAATTAAGTTTATTGGAGCCAGGCGTGGTGGAGCTTGCCTTTAATCCCAGCACTTGGGAGGCAGAGGCCAGCAGATCTCCATGAGTTTGAGGCCAGCCTGGTCTCCATAGCGAATCCAGGCCAGCTGGGGCTACAGAGACCCTGTCTCAAAAAGACCAAAGCGGGGGAAAATTGGTTTATTGGGTAGCACATCAACACTGTAAGATGCAAATCAGGCCTAATCAATGCCATTTTGTTGCAGGTATACTTTATAAGACATTCTAAGAGATCACAAATCAATACCCTCTTCTCAAGTGTATGTATAGTGTTTAAGTTCTAGAACATGAGTAAGTGTATCATCTTTTTAAGGTATTTCCAGAATAAAAGGTCTTCCTAGACCACACTCTGGAATATTGAAGTAAGTGCTATTTATGAAAATTATTTTTAGCTGACATGGATTAACTTAATATCCTTGCATTACTGAAACAGATAAGTAGTTTATTTGCAAAAAGATATAGTCTTAATTCTCACTCTACTAAACCTTCCTTATCAGTGCAAGGCCAGAAGTCCCATTCATGAAATGAGAAAGGGTTAGAAAGCAACACAGATCTTCAGAGGAATCGTTATATTCTCAAAAGAACATCGGGCAAAGGCTCACCAAACCATTCTTATAATCTTAAGTACATGAACTCTCTCTCTCTCTCTCCTCTCTCTCTCTCTCTCTCTCTCTCTCTCTCTCTCTCTCTCTCAGCTCACATCTTAGAGCTAGATAGTTCTTAAACTAATAATCATTTGTAGAACTTGGAACACTACTTTTAGATAAAACATGAGTCTAAAGGATAGAAGGAATGGAAACTACATTTTGAGAGCCATGAGTACTGTGTGCCTGGTTAATCGTCTCTAGTATATTAACTTATTGCTGTTAAAATTCATTTTCTGCTGATAGAAATTTAACATTTTAGACTTTGTTTCATTTAAATTCCATAGCTGTACCTGACATCATACCTTATAATGGGACTACAGGTAGAATTCACTTTATTATGGTAGTCTGCTCTAACTTACAACATATTTGAACCTAAACATAACAAGATTCTTAATGGAAGTCCTTCATTCTAAAGTCTAACTTATGGAGGGTAAAGAGTAATTCTAGGTTGGCCACAGAAGGAGGTGGTCTTCACTGACTTCAATCATATTTTGATTTGATATAATTAAATATGTTTGCAATTTTTAAATACTGTCCAAACTTGTCTTTTATTGATATAGTTGAACTTTACAACACTGTCATAAAACTATAAACAGAGCCTTTGGACAAAGAGGTAGAGGGAGGAAATTTAAATATATTAGCCAGGTTGAAGCATGCAGAAGAAATAATGACAAAGACAGTAAATTATATGATAATGGTATGTCTGATTTACCCATTACAGGTCTTCATATTTGGTCACAAAAATATTAGCAAACATCAATTTAAAGTCTGGTGACAGACCTGACTCTGACTTACACACGAGACATAATATACCCTTTGCACTTGTATGATTAACGTCACTGGCTGTGTCAGATTATCACTGGAGAGATCCAGTATCAGGATAAGCTCACTGCCCACACTGCAGTAAATAATGGTTGGAAATGCACTCTCCTGATTTGCTCTGTGAACTTAAAAACACTAATGAATTAACAACACAGGTCAGAGGGACCAAAAGTCCTTAATATTCACAATAACTTTTCCCACGAAAAGCTTCAAATATAATTCTAATAAAAAAATAGAGTTCTCAAGGCAAATCTTTAGCATAATTTACAGAAGCAGATTTAAACCAAAGAGTCCCTAACCACACTAACCCTAAAAAAATACACATAACAGGAGTTACCTCTTTTTCTATCTTGACATTAAAATGCAGTGGCCACACTGATCAGCTGCAATGCCATCAGGAGTCCCATAAGTAAATGGGACAACCCGAAGAGATTCAAGTATCTCTTTATTCAGAAATTTTAACATCTTCAGATTCAAATTAAGGAGAAAGGAGAAGAGGTTCATGTAACTCTCTGTTTCCCATGGAACTCTGAGAGGGTCTGAACTCCCCCCGAGATTTCAGAAAGTAACTTTAGAGCCAGTGTGGCCCTTTACAGGATTATGACCCTGAATCTGAGGACAGGTGAACTTGCTCCCACAAAGTCCTACTGCCCCTTTAACAAGCAGATGAGTCCATTGTGGAGAGAGTCAAGATGCTTCTGTCGTTGGTATAGAAAGGATCCGATGCACTCCACGATCTAAAGCAACAATAAGAGAGAAGTTTGGCTCACCAGGACCTATGTTTAATTGAAAAAAAAAAAAACCTGACTAAAATGTAGGACAAAAATACAACTTGAGTTTTAAAATAATCAATGATTCATTTCTAGATGCTGAGGAGTAATTCTTCAGATGAGCAGTGAACCCTACTCTATATTAATAAAAAAACTTGGCAAAAATTATGCTGTAGTCACGAAATCTAGGCATTCATTAACATTGCAGTTTCTGTGGGTGGTGAAGTATGAGATGCTTTTACAATCTTAATAATTCAATAAGAAAAAAGTAGGCTTTAAGAATTACAGACATTTGGATACTGAGGAGATGGTTAAGGTGGTAACGAGCCTGCCATGCAGGCATGAAGACAGGATATGGATGCCCAGCACCTCCACAAAAAGCCGGATGTGGCCACACATGCCTATCACCCCAGCACTTGGAGGGGTGGAGACAGACAAATCCCGGAGCTCCCTGGCCAGCAAGTCTAGTCAACCTGTGAGTGCTGGTTCAATGAGAGACCTTGTTTCAAAAAGTAAGGTGGAGAGCAACAGAGGAAGGCACAGATAGCAATCTCTGGTCTCCACACGCACTCATACCTGCACGTACATGTACACAACATATACAACCAAGAGCACATACATACATTACACACACAAAAAGCAAAAAGAAAACGCTGATATGCATTTTGACATTACCAAAAGCCTTGGAATGAAACAGTGGAATGCTCATGTTATTGGTCACATCTTCTTAGGCATAAATTCTAAGGATTTTAGCTTAATTAGACTGAATGTCATAAATGGTTTACTTAGAAGGTATCATAGACACTTACAGTATTACTGGTCTAGAAAAGTAAACTACTGACTGACTGACAAGGCCCTTAAAGTAATTCAATATATAATACTCTATTTGCAGCTGTAACCTTAAATTAGCTTGAGTTAATTTAAGTTAAAATAACAAACATAAAAGCTGTCTGCCATGCTTAAAACAGACTATCCTAGCCAAAGGGGAGTATCAGGATTACCAAGAAAATGTGGCCTTCTTCTAAAAGCTGAAGCACTTAACGGTAAGCACAGGTTACTCAATGTCTGCCAGGGTTTCTACTTTCCCTGAACAGTGTTATAGGAGGGACCCAACACCAAAACAGCCCTAATTTATCCTTATCAAATATCTTGTTTCCCAGTGTCTGTTTTTGTACGAGTCTTAAGCTCGAATTATTTATTAAGTAAGCAGAGTCATAATGAACAGTTTATAGCTTAACTGGTTTTCAGAAAAGTTGAGCAACCTCTGCTCTGATTTACGGTCTTGGTTGTGACTGTCTCTTAGGCACAAGAACAGAGTCTGGCAGGTAGGTATTAGACATCCAACATAAAAAAATACCACTTTTGGCAGACTATTAAACACCCGAACACCTGTTGGCTATTAACATTTCCTGCCTTGCCACCCTCCCTTCCCAAGGCTTTGCCCATGCTAGGCAAGTGCTTGACCACTAACTGTAACCCTAGTCCTTCTTTACTTTTGAATTCTGAGCTATGGTCACTTTAAGTCACCCAGGTAGGCCTGGAACTCACAATCGTCCTGCCTCAGTCTCCCAACTGCTGAGATGACTTGTGCGCATTACTGTTATAGTTAGCATTAATTGTCAACTTGACAATCATCTGGGAGATGAGGCTGTGGGCCGAGCACTAGCATGTGTTCATCTCTGTGTTTCCTGATTGTGAATGCAATGTGACCAGACACTTCAAGTTCCTGCTACCTTGAGTATACCCTTGAGCTGTGAGCCAGATAAGCCCTTTGTCCCTGAGGCTGCTTTTGCCAGAGTGTTTTATCACATTACCAGGGAAAGAAACCAAGACAATCACACTACAGGCTGATCTTTCATTCTGAGACAGAGTCTCACTAAGTTGCCCAGGCTGGCCTCAAATTGAGACCCTATTGTTTTAAAATCCCAAGGAACTGATATTATTGGTGGAGAACTCATTCATACCTGCTGGTAAAATATAAACAAAAACTCAGCCATATTGCTGAAATATGGCTCCTTAGGGTAGAATATGGCATGTCTTTACACAGCACCACAATGCTCCCTTAGAAATGGAGCTTGCAGTGTGATACACTCATTTGACAACTTCAGATAAAAAACAAGTAAAGTTTGTACCTGGATGTTAACAACTTGGCAGGCAGGCCAGTGTGCCATATGAAAGCTGCTGTGTCACATGGAAACTGTTGTCTCCAGAGGTGCTCAGCATTGTTAATGGTTAAGCAGCTCACACTAGCATATCTGGTATGGAAGAGTTCAGCCTTACCCTGTCCTTTAAATTTGACAGGAAACTCAAATGTACAACAGAGGTTACTCCAGTATCAATACAGAAATGTCAAAAATATTTCACAAATAGATGTAGAAAAAAACGACCCTACATATCAAAATGACTATTAAAGTTTAATACAATGTTGATGGGCCACAGCAATTTTCATAAAGCCCTTTGAAAAGCACCAGGGAGCTCTGTATTTCATGATTTTATACTCTAGAAAAGTTAGTATCTGAGAAGACTTCCTGGATTACTTATCTGAGGAGAAAGGGGGCAGTGACAACGGAAGCCCTAGTACAGCACTGGAGACACCCACCCTCTGCTGAGTAAGTATTAGGAACTAACACAACATCTCATCAGGAAAAATCACCTTAGAAAAGACTACGACACAATTCTGAGGGAACAGAAATCCTGGCAGTAATAGCCACCTTTAGGAGAATGTGCCAAAGTAAATCCAGAACTCCAGCAGGTCTACTAGGGGAAGCGCAGCACGAAAACAGCTGTGTGGAGAATGGGGCACAGAATCTCAGTGTCAAGAATACAGGTAATGAAAGCAGAAAAAAGCTTTGGCTCATTTAAAGTTAATTCTAGTCTTTTTAATATTAGTAACTGTGTACTGCCATTAAAGACAAATTTCTACTAAAATAGACATTTAAAAAACTATGCAGAAGTTCTACTAGAGTACTTTAGTCTAAATCTCATCTTGGTTCTTAAGCAGTAAGGTATATTGTTAGTTAAATCCTTCTGAAACATTTCTTGGGAAACCCATGACTTAGGAACATTAAAACTATCTTAAGTTTTGTTAAATGTAATTGTATAAGAAATAACAATGTCCCAAATACACTGAACTGCTCAGAGCAATCTTTGTATGTGGGATAAAACTCCTGTAAAATATGGCAACATTATGGATCACAAGTTACATTCCAGTCAGAATAAATGGGGATTGAAACCATAGGCATCTCACATTAACTCAAATACTTTATCAATTGAACTGTAGCACAATGACACGGCAGAGCCAAAGGTAAAGTTGAGAACATGTTCACCAGAAGTCACCTGAATTTTATGATGTGAATGATATCACATTCATTATTCTTCAAAATATGACACTAACCAAATATTAAAAGTACTCTTATCAAAAGGTCAGAGTACTGCCTCCCCATTCCTTCACTCCTTTCTCCTAAAATATTCTCCAAGCTTCTCTAAGTCACTGCATTTGTAGAAAGTCTTAACATTCCCATGGCACACCAGGGACAATGGGAATCAGCACCTTTCTGTGTCCATCACAACTTTTACCAACAACCCAGCATGTTGCTGCTCTGACTTGGGGAATATAATATCATTCACATAAAGAAGACCAAGCACAAAGATATTTCTATCTCAAGTATCCTCTAATGATGCATATCTTGTGTAAATGTACAAAGAAATGAATGCTTCACTTTTAAAAGAACTTTAAATGCCATTTATCCCTAAAATGGAATTTTTGACTGTGAACCATAAAAACAAGCTGTGATAATTAAGAAATGGATTTAAGGAGGGACAAAACATGTTCTTCTAATCCATAATTCATCAACGTTAATATATGTAGTATTACTACAGCCTGTTCTGACTTACAAACCTTTAATCAGATAATACCAAGTAAAAGAAACGTAAAATAAAAAACTCATTTCAGACATCTTTAAGTAGGGGCAGAACAGCTTTTTGGTTTAACGCTGAATGACTAACTTTAGGAAACATAATGAAGAATAAGGAAGGGAAGCAAAGATGCTTGACTCCATTTAGCATCGAGATTGATTTGTAAAGACAAAAAGCAGTAGAAGAAAAAAACAAAAAAACAAAAAAACCCCACAACCAACCCAGCAGGGAATGAAACAGCAGTATAGAGATAATTTAAAAGAAAGATAAGCAAGCCAGACAGAGTACCAGATATACAGGCCTACTGACTGCATCTTAGAAAATTACAAGTACAGTTTGTTCATTGGATGAAGTCTCTTCAAAGATGCTTTTTCTTCCTTTGTGAGTGAAAGAACCCCACCTCAAAGCTACAGAGTGAAATCTACCATCAAAGAGTGCTAAGGAGCAGTAAGCTTCCTGCTTCAGTTGGCAAGGCCAGCTGAGTTACTGGGCATCTACAGCTGCAGGCTCAGCCTGCTGTCTTCCAGGACAGCCATCTGTAGCAAAGGCTACTTAGAGAAATGTCACACCTGCTGATGTGGGTGGGACTGCACCTTCCTAGAACTCGTTCCAACATTCTTCCAACAGATGTGCACAGCGTCTCTCCTGGGAAGCAGCACATGGAGTCCAAGCACTTGAGACTTGAATTTGGTTCAGTAAGCTGCAAAGGACAAAGAAAAGTTAGTTATTCATAGATTTCAGACTTCCAAAAAGCACAACAAATACTTTAAAATCAAAAGTGATTTATACAAACATACTTATTTTCCTATAATATGGAATGCATGGGAATCTTTGGAGGTCTAACCATACTAAAACTTTTAAAAGCTCTGCATTCTAATTAGAAGTCTAGTAGTATATAAAAACAAGCAGATAATATTTAAATCTGCAAAGATTTATTATTTTACTTTTGATAATTTACTGTGGCCAAATTGGCTAATGCCAATATTTAGAAACTTAGGGAACTCTAACTTATCTTGGAGCTTTACTTAGGTGAAATGCTCCTGCAATTCCAGTTAAAAAATGTCCAGCAACTGAGGACAGTGGAGTGAGAACTATTGGAGACCTGGAAGAAACACCCAGGCAGGAGCTACAGTCTTCAGCTAGAATATGATTAACAGCAGCAGTAGCAGCACTTCTTGGAGTGTTCCCAAGAACAAGCACTGAACACACAGCTACTCCATAGCCTTTACCTTAAAGTGCCAAGCAACTACAAAGTACCATCTATGCCCACCATCAACTTATCTTCTTAACAGTGAGCACCGATGTCACAGTGATCAAATTTTTCCAAAGTTAATAAGTACTGCTATTAAGATTTAAAGTTGAATCTTTCAAATTTGCAAGATTTATAATGATTCAGTCATGTACAGACTCAGCAAGATAACCCAATTCCACACTACTGACAACTTTAATTATTAAAATGAGGGGAAACGGTCTGAACACACAGCTGGAAGCATCCCAACCTTGGTTTTGTCTGTGAGGAATACTCTAAATTTTGTAAGGGCTACCATTTAAAAAACTTTTTGAATTCCCTTTCATATATATATACATGTATATATAAAACATTCTATATACCAAATATTTGGAAGATACAGAGGAAAGAGAGGAATGAAGTAAATTCAGTAAAGTTCACATGTACAAGGTTGGGATCTCCCTGTGCTGTATGAGGCATGGTAACAGAGGACACTGTAGAGACTCACAATAGACACAAATGACAGATGTGAAATGTAGGCAACCTGACACTTTGAAAGAAGCAAATGGCAGGTCCTACAAGACCCAATGCTTGGAGGCATTAATTCCTTGTAGTGAGAGAATGAGGTTTCTGTTTGCCTGGTCACAACACCACCCTGGGATCTGCTAAGCACCAAGATATTTCATTAAATTGGCTTTGGTTTAGAGTACTGTTTCTTAAATTGTGTTTTGTGACATATTTCATTAAAAGGGGAGGGGGGCTTCTATGCTAGATTAAGTAACTTGGGAAATACTGATCTAGCAAAGTTCCAAGCAGATTTTCAGATTGTCAGGAAATGTGGTAAGTCTTAATTGGTAAAATTTGAGATCACCATTCTCCAATCAGCTTTTTAAGGAACTGCTCCCTCTACTCTGCCCCACATTTCAGGAACAGTCACTAACACAGAAGGAACATTAGTATGCAGAGGATGCTGGCTCAGGCAACAGGTTATTTATTATTAGCTCCCAGTTTTGTCTTTGGGGACTCCTGTGGTCCCACGTGTTCAAGGTGAGGCATAAGCACTGGACTCAAGTTCTTCCCCCTGACTCTAGGCTGGTCTTCCACAGTCTCCACACAAGTCACTGGGGCATGTTTCTTGCCTGTTGGCCTCATCAAAAGGTCAACATGCTGATCCCACACCAAGGCTCAGTTTAACTTCTACTGTCTCAGTTTCCAACCAGGAGGAATCTTCTGGATTTTGTTCTACTGCTTAGGAATATCTCTGGAATAGCACAAACTCTTGAAAGTCAACTTGTAGTTACTCAGGAAGTCACTGTGTCAGTGTTCAGTTGGACAACTCTGCACTCCTCTAGTGAGACGAGGAAAAGGTGAGAAGCTGTTGTATCCTCTTCAGATGAGGAGACAGGTCAGGAGTTTGCTCAAGCTTACTTACCAGAGTGCCAAATTATTTTTCAATCTCTTACCCTGTCTTTTAAAAACTATAATAAGGAAATGAGTCAAAAAAAGAGGAAAGTTCAAACCCTGATCATGCTAAGAGGGCATGAAAGAGCTGATGGAAAAACAGCTTTGAAAAGTATCTGGAAGGGTGAGTGGGACTTCAGTGCTTGAAGGAGGGAAGGGACATTCCAGACTTATGGAAGAAAATGAATACCTGTGTAGGACATGGGGTACACCGAGCACAGGCTTAGTCTAGGCAGAAGGTGGTTGTTACTACTGCCCCTTGTGAGAAGAGCAGCACAAGTCACTGACAGACCTGGGGCTCAGTGCTAATCTCCAAACACTGTCACTGGCCTCCAAAGTATTTCTGGTCTGAGAGAGTAAGAGTTTAGAAAACCTTACAGCAATGTGACAAAACAATTTTGCACTGTTAAATCCAATAATCATTTTTAAAATTAGGAATTATTTTATGTATCTTTACGTTTTAATTTTCCTAATTTATTTTTATCATAATCATAAAAATATGAGTACTTGAGACAGGATAATAAAAATAAGAAAATAAAGCCTGGTCTTTTAGCACATTTATTTAGGGAGCAATGGACTTTACCAGAAACTAGGGAGGAGGGGTCTTGTCTGATATGTCTACATTTAGTGTCTTGTGGTTTGCTCATAGATGTTGAGTCACCTGCATGTGAGTGTCCTCCTGTGTGCAGAACGCCCTGGGGTCTGCATCTGGTTTCAGGGAGCTGTCTTCATACTCCTCACTTTTCATTGTAAACATATGGCCAGATGCTGAAACATGGACACCGAGAGAAAGCAAATATCTCAAAATGTCAAACATGCTACAAAGAGCGTTGGGGATGCAACCCTCTTTGTAGCATACCTGTGGTATGTGAACCTGCCTGCCAAGTGTGAGGCCCTAGGTTCAATCTCCAGTTTAAGAAAAATTATAAAAAAATGATAAAACCCTAGGTGCTCTAAAAGTGCTGAATGCTACAGAGTTACCTATGGAAAGACTCTCATGTCCTCCAGCAAACCACCATGCCCTACCAGTGTGCCTCAGGCACATAGTCTCTCTCAATAGCCAGGAAATGAGAGCTCAGCCAGAAGACTCAGAGCCACAGCTGCTAATGTAATGAGGGCAGAACTGGAGTGGAGTATGCACTTTCATTTCATTCAACGTAATGGGAGAGGGGATGCTTGTATTTTTGAGGACTGCTTATAAAAACCAGAAAAACTAATGGCATGGGATCCCAGACTTTTAATGCAGCAGCCATTTTGATCATTAGTAGGCTACATCTGCTTCCTAGGTTGTCAACCCCCACCCGCCCCCATGGAGACTCGACATGACTATGGATGGCTAGTAAAATATCCATCTTTATAGGATTTGCCTTTTGAAACTCTGGCTTACTGCTCCAATTCCGAAACAATTACAGTCAATCTTTACTTGGTTACCAAATATCTTCCTTAAATCTTAAAAACGTTAAGCATTTTTTGTCACTCCAATGTCATCAACTGAAGTTTCCTTTTAAGTTTAAATAAGAATTGCCAGACTGCTAACTGTATGAGGGCTTTTGCCTTTAAAACAGTTTTGTATACTAATCAATATTCTCTTGTTTAGTCCTAAAAAAGTTATTTGGATAGAAGCCTTAAACTACAATTATGAGGGAAAAAAAGAGGGTTTTTTTTGTTTTGTTTTTTTAAAAGAGAAATGTTTTCTTTTTAATGTGAAATCAAAAGCTATCAATTACTGGATTTTTTCTTCCAGCTCAGGCCTCTCAACTATCCTCTGCTTCCTTTCCCCTAAGTGAGCAGACAACTCTGAAATGAAACTTTCAAAGATATTCACATGTTGGTTTGCGGGCTTTCTAGAGAGAGGGCTTTCTAAATGTACTGCCTCCCTTCAACTCAAAACTAAGCATATGATAAAAAATTATATTGATTAGGGAGGTGGGGGGAGGGCTTGTCAGGAAAAGAGCTTGCTGTGTAAGGAGGACTGCAGTTTGGGGCTCCAGAACCTGTCTTTAATTCCAGAGCTGGGAAGGTAAAGGCAGAGGATCCCTAGGTAGGCTAGACTAGTTGAAACTGGGAGCTCCAGATTAAACAGCCTCAAAGAATAAAGAAGAAAGATTGAGAATGACTCCCAGCATTGGCTTCAGACCTTCACAAGCAAACATTTATAAGCACCCCAATATATGCCTGCCGACAAACATGAAAACATGCATACACATATGCATGCACACCATAAGCCAGATGCAAAAAATTGAATAATTATAATAATTTTTATAATTGGCTCATTCCTAGTTTTCAAAGGAGACTGGATCTCTTTTATTTAAATGACATATTTATTCAATTAACAATGTATGACTAGGATTTATAGTTTAGGTAAGGAAGAGATCTGTATTTACAAAAAGTTAAAATTCCAAATATAATGCAGAGGGTAAAGTTAAAGTCACAGGTGAAAAGGAGAAAATTCACTTATAATTCCTGTGCAAAGGTAACCATAGTAAGGTTCCTGTTACTCAACAGAAATATTGTTTTTATTATTATTATTTTCATTTTCTGTGTATGAGTGTATTGCCTGCATGTGTGTAAGTGTACCCGTCTTGTACAGTGCCTGCAGAGGTCAGAAGAGGGCGTTGGATCTCCTAGAACTGGAGTTACGGACAGTTGTTAGCCACCATGTGGGTGCTGGGAATCGAACCTGGGTCCTCTCCAAGAGCAATCAGTGCTCTTAACTGCTGAGCCATCTCTCCAGCCCCCTCAACAGAAGCATTCTTGAGAATACAATTCCGAACTGCCTTGTGCATGTTAGTGGACATCCTAAAGCATGGTGGCACCAGATCCATCTCTTACAAGGTATCAACTTGAGCTTAAGCCCTGGAGAACTTCTATCACAGAGACGGAATTTCATATTTCTAGCATAGTTAGAGCTCAAGTGGATTATCTGTTCAGTACATCACCCAGGGCATTACATAAGTCCTGGCCAGCTTCTGTTCTTTGCCCAGCAAGTTCTTCACATGAGCTTTTCCTGC